GCTGGTGGAGAGGTTAACAGAAAGCATAAGCTCCTTGGTCTACTTACAGAAGCAGACATACCTTCAGCTCTTGCAACAAACCCCTTTGGATTCAAACTTCTCTTTCTGCAAACACTTTCATATGCTGTAAAATTAGATAGAGTATAAGATCTTCCACTACTATTTTTTCCTGTTGTAAATGTTCTATTTTTACAAATATTTTCAAGTCAAAGTGGGAAACTGGACAAATACAATATATGTCAAATCTAAAATCAAAGTTGTAATTCATTTTTTGAGATGACTGTCCCTAGGAAACACATAAATTTATGCAAATAACTCTTTAAGAATTCTAACATTAGTGTGTTGATATTTTCAGAGCCTCCTTCATTTTTTAAATAAATGGTAATATAATCAAAGTTCATGTTGTTGAGTTGTCACATTTTAAAATGTTCACAACATTGTAATAAACAATATTAAAGTAAAATACACTGAGCATATACCAAACTAAGGCTACAATCGTAAACACTGTCTAGGAAGTAAACTCCACTGAATGAAATGGGACTTTCATCCAAATAAATAAACATAGCACTATGTTGCACATCCACTTTATTAGCTGTTGGAAATATCTTCCAGAAGTCTATACAGCATGTAAAAGTGATATGATACAGTTTTCAAACAGTTTTATTTGTTTATTAAAATCAAAGAAACATGCTAAAGTAGATATCCACTGATTAAAGGCAGCAGAAGCTGTTCCAATAGAACTTTCCCAGAAAACCCAAATCATGTACTATTTTAAGTATATAGAAATGCAAGTACACATACATTGAGGATTCAGTGACATGCCATGTCCTTTTCACACATGACTGGAGCCAATACATGGATGATTGCCTCATTACTACATGCCCAGAAAACTAAACTTTGAATTTCTTGTTTCTCAGACACAAGAAGGCAATTCTGGATGCACACATTCAGCTATTGCATTACATGGACTCTCAACTGCAAAGTTAACTATAAAAATAATTCTGATCCCAAGGCTGCAGGTCCACTGCTACATTCGTATTATCATAGTGCAATCAGAGTAGGAGAAGGAAATACTCAACCAGAGGGTAGGGCCAAAAATTCCTACAAACACAGACCAGTTGCATGAATGAAGTCTGAGTAAATCATATCACAGTGCTGAATCATGATAAAATCACGTGAAAAAGAAATTAAACTCAACAAAAAACTCAATCAGTTTAATTCAGTTTGGCAGCATGCTCCTATGTAAACTGCCCATTGGAGGTGCTGATTCCCTTTCTCTTCAGTTCCCCATGTCACATCTAACATTGCTTTAGTAGTGGTCATGAGTCCCTAGCCTTCTTGAGCTACTCACAAGAGAAACCAGGAGTTGCAGGAAGAAGGAATGGCAAAGACTGCCTTCCTTTTTTCTTCCTCTATTAAGCACAGCTCTGAATCCAACCAATAGGCAAAATGTAGATTAAAATGATTTTACCATGGGTTCATAACACTGAAATATTTGACACATCAAACAATTTCCTTTCCTAAAAACATCAGCAAAGCAATTCCAAGTCAAAGTTGACCACTATGATTAATCTGTCAAATTTACATGGGAAACTGTCTGAGACCGAGTCAGTACATTGGCACAGACTTTGTAGGAATACAGACAAGATTCTTTCCTTGTCTGAACTCCTCTACCTGGAAATGTCTAGCAATGAATTTGGACCTGTCTGCATGCAACATATGTTGTCTATCACTGAGCTATAGTGCCTCCCTGTATTTACATTACATAAGCAAAGATATGTGTACCAGTAGTATGGTAAAATGCTGATAAGGTCACAGAGGTATAACTCAAAGCCGTTTTCTAGTAAGGCCAATATCTATTCATACTTACTTGAGAGGGGGAATAAACTTCTGCCTAAACATGCATAGCATCAGGCTATAAAAACAAGCTATATTGTTCTAATCTGCTGCATATAATCTAATGGCTTACAGCCTCATTCTAACATGTGGATTTGTATGTAAGTCTCATTGAGTTAAATGTGAATTACCTCCAGGTAAGTATGCTTAGGATGCAGTAATAATTACATTAATTCAAAGAGCAACCTGGAAGCAGAAACAAACATCTTACAGAAAAGCACTGAGAGATCCTTCTCTCTGTATTGCAGACTGTATCACTTTGACAGCACAGTTCTCTTACTAAGTCGAGGGCACTGAGCACCTTGTTGGGTAAAGCCCTTAACTGAGCAGATTTATTTGCAGTTAATAGTGAATTCTGACTTCAATGAACACATTCTAATTGGATATTACTGTAAAATAACATTAAATATTTCATCTTCCTTGAAAGAAAAGTGAGATATTTGCATTGAATCATAGTTAATTTGTCACTTTCAACCATTATTATGCTATACAATCATATAGGTGTCCTCTGCAAAACATTTCTAATTTACGGAACTATTAGTATATATAACTATCCCTTTCATCTATTAATGTAATATACAGAACAGAAATTTACCCATTAAGAGACTAACACCAGAAAATTACTTATCTTAATTACAAAACTGATATCTTCAGACTTTCAGTAATTTAGTTGAAAAAACTAAGTTTTCAATGGCATCAAATTTAAGCAGCAAAGACATATACACTGAAAAAGGAAAGGATTAGAAATAATCATGTAAGCTACATTATAGAAAGCACCAATCCTATACTAATCTATGCTTTACAAATATGATCACACTGTGTCTTGGAAACAAGTTTCATAATAATAAATGGACCTTCTTCTTACTAAATACAATTAGGATCAGACCATATTAGCTATCTTAGAATATGCTATCAATGTTTATCAAAACTGATATACTCATGTTCATATGGTCATTTAGAATATTCCAATGGCTTTGAAATGACTACTTGCATTGAAAGAAATGGAATTCCATTAGTGTAAATACTCTGAATAACCATTTAAGAAATTACTCATTATTCTGATTTTTCCCTCCTGCAATGGTATATTGGAATTAAAATTTTATTTGTCCTTACATTCATCAGAAACTTTGCAGTCAATTTCATATTTGTTATATATGCAATTAAAATTTAATAGTAACTGCAACTGTATATGTCATACAATCCAAGTGATAACTTTCTAAAATTATTGAGAAAACATACTTATCTGCCTTACTCTATGAAACAGGAGAAGTACAATCCAAGTACCAATCTACTTGGACTGGTAAAACATCCTACACTGAAGGCATTTAAAAATGTTGACTAAACGGAAAGGTTGCTCAGACCTTGATTGATGGTTTGGAAGCCTAAATTATGCAGTTCAAAATACGTATCACTGACCAGAAAAGTAACTACTCCAAATAAATGACACAATCTGTAGCTAGTAGCCTGTGCATGTTGCAGTGAAACTAACTTCTAAGTAAATGTTTTTAGGACTGAGCTATTATATCAAATACTTTAAGCAGATAGAAATATAGTTCTCTCTCTCTCCCCCCCCCCGTGTGTGTGTGTGTGTGTGTGTGTGTGTTTTCATATCAGTATATCAATTGTGCAGCACAATCCTATGTATATTTATTCAGAAATAAGTTTCTCTGAGTTTAAAAGGATGTGTGTCTCCCCAGTAAGGGCATATATATAGCACTGTACCCTTAAACATATTTACAAGAAAAGTTTCATCAAAATAAATAGACTTGTGACAACATTAATATGTTTACATTTGAGATGTTAATTCAGCATATCAGGCTAAATGCCACCTGTCTAAATTAAAACTGTAATCCCCAAATCACATTTTCCTAAGGAATCTTGCTATATGATAATTCTAATCTTTTCTTAAACTGCTGGACAATTTTTGTTGCATGCCCCTGGAAAAAGAAGTATGAATACAGTCTCTGTTCGTCTACATAGTATTACTCTGTGATGTAATTCAGTTTTCCATATATCAAGCAGCATTAGCACTCACTGCATACACCAACTCTTTCATCATCGTATATGCATGTGCAAAGTATTTCAAACAGTAGAAATTTCAAACAGATTCAAAGCTGCTGCATTAAATAAACTATTGTGCATTTGGTTAAAAACATAAAACTTCACACTGCACACTTGTTGTGCCTGAATGAGTTAAAGAAATAGCACATTCTCTGAAGAACTATATGGAATTTGACACAATCACTTCAAGCATTAAACATATAAAACAGCAACCCTGCAGACTTCCAACATTCTAATTCTGACTATGCATACAGTTACTGTGGTCTTTGCTCAAAAAGGCTTGGTGGGATAGGGAAGCTACAAACATTCCCAACCATATATTCATTAATCCTGCCCTTTTAAATCACCATGTCTCCAGACTCTTTTAAGCAATTAGCCGTATAACAGGTAAAGTTACACATGTCTTGCCCAATCATTAACTATGATAGAAAGTAACCACTTTCCCCTCACTGGCAACCAGTAACGCTATACAAGCCCAAATGAAAACAAGAATCAACTATTTGCTGATAATCAATTTTTATTCTCTATTACTGGAATCTGAAAGGTGAGAGCAAAAACAATCCTTCCTTTCTGATAAGAAGGCCCTAAGTTCAGAGGGAGAAAGGGTTTGGGTTTGTGTGTGCATGTGTGTGCCAGAAATATGTCTCAAGCTCAGGCAGCAACTGCCTCAAAGGGATGCTGCTGAATCTCTGCCTCAGACACCTAGTGGACAATAACAAAAACCAACATCTTTCTTTCTTACAGCAATCTAGTCCGAGCATTGTCAATTTCTTAACCACATCGAGGAGTCCCTGACTGTGAGACGTGTTCCATTCAGGTAAAGTCCCCTTTAGGTACCCAGACCATGCCACTTCAATAACCTGTGCACAATTAGTATGCTGTTTTGCATCCATTTAAAAAGAAAAGGAGTATCAGGCTTCATCTACATTTCATCGCTTACACCTCTGCAGCTAAGGCTTAAGAGCTCTGACTTGGGGGAGAGAGACAAAAATCTCATAATGTAATTTGCAAAGAGTGGAAACGCCTACAAGGAGCTGAAGTACCTGCACTGGGGAGATGTTCAGTTGTTCACTTCATCTTCCGTTGACAAGGAAACCAAACCGCACTTCATTCTCCAGGAAAACCTTCCACTGCCATCATTTGAAAATGTGCTTATTGGTATATATGTGTATATCTATCAACATTATGATAATTATCATAAAATTATCTTGGTATAGAAGAATAAAAAAGTGAAATTTTGGAAAGGCATTATGTTTGGCTTTTTTTTCTTTTTGGCAATATAGTATTTCTAGGGGGGGGGGTGGATTTAAAAATTATCAACAGTACCAAAGCTGCAAGAAAAGTTTCACGTTATAAACGGGCATCAAAAACAGAAAAAAGAAGAAAAAAGGCTGATTGCAACGAGGTATCCAAAAAAAGGAAACAAAACAAAAAACATTTAACAAAATTAATATCTTGCTCAGTGCCTTGCACCAATATAGCAAGATCACAAACTCTTTGTAAACATTGCTGTAAAATGCATTTGCAAATCCCATATATATATACAAAAACCAAAAAACAAAATAACGTCATCAAAAATCTCTGCAAAAGAGAGTTAAGCAACAAGCCCACTTCTCATCGCTTTTTTTTAAAAAAATATGCATAATAATTCACATAGCTTTTTGCCACAACAAAACCAGTTGCATATATATAAATACGTCTAATGTATATGCATTTACGTTGTTGCTGAACTGGCAAGTCTATTTTTCTGCTCTCTTTTTCTTTTCCTCTTTAGCTTCCTAGTGACTTCCAGTTCCAGCAACACCTTTTGCTCCCAGTTTAGTAAACCATCGCATGCTAAGAAAAAAAAACTTGTCATCAGAAAAAGGATCAAATCCATGAAAACAAAGATGTTAAAAAATAAAAAAGCAGCAAAAACAAAAAAGGAAGAGGAAAAAAAACAGGACAAAAAAGGAAGACAAGAATGTCAGTGGAAGGTACTCACCGAGCGGGAGTAAAAGGAAGGAATAAAAATGCGAGTTACTACAAAATACAGTATGGCGGTGGAAGAAGGAATGAGGCGCTTTTTTTTCCTCTTTAGTCTCTGCCTCAGGCAATTGCCACGTGATTCGGAGCCAGGCTGACTCGCAGGCAGGGGGAAGGAGCAGGCGGGGACGGGGTAAACCCCACCGGAGGAGCCCAACTCGCTCGCAACAGCTCGGCGGCGGCGGCGGCGGCGAGGAGGAGACTGGAACCGGCAGCGAGCAGCAGCACAACAAGAAGCTTTTGGCTCGGCGGCGGCAGGAGCGGCGGCGGCGGCGGCGGCGGCCAGACAAGCAGGTGCCCCACGCGCCGCACTAGACACACGCGCTCGGTCTCGCGCGCGTGCGCGCGCTGAGCGAACAACGGCCGGCGAGAGGGCGCGAGAGAGGAGAGAGGCGGGGGCGAAAAGCGACGCAAGGAGCGCGGGGTGGGGAAGGAGGTTCCTCGCGGCGCCCGCTGGCGGGGTGCAAGCGTCTGCCTAGCGCGCGCGCGCGCGCGCGCGCGTGTGTGTGCATGTGCATGCAAGAGGGACGCACACTGTGAGGTTAGGCAGCTTCAACTTGCCGCTGCCACCGTTGCGCGCTCCGTGTGTGTATGTGCGCGCGCGCGCGCGTGTGTGCGTGTCGGCGAGGAAGCGAATGACGGAGAGACTAGAACAGACAAACTCCACAACTTGCTGCTGCCTCGCCTTAAAGTTGCTCCTCGGCAACAAAATTCCAGAAGTTTACATTTTGTGTTTTAGCAACAACTGCAACAAATAGAAAGCTGCATCTCATTTGGCACATTAAAGAGCAACAGATTTACTGTGGGAGAAGGTCTGGGAGACTTAGAAGCCACTAAACTATGATGTCACAGTCCACAAAACCTTATGCCACCCTGTATCTTTAACGAGTCGCATGGCTGCTTTTTGGGTTTCCTGATGACCAGCATCGAACATTCATCAGGTCATTTTCCATTTACAATAAAAATAACCCACTTTGTTCACAGGAGAAGGAATGCTCTTCTGGATGGAGCTATCTAGTTGTTTTCTCCATCCTCTATAAAGAATGTGGGTTAATTTCTACTACAAAACATTGCATCCTAGGAGAGACAGACATGCTCAGAAGAACTACATCCATCGTGCTTGTGTGGAACACAAGCCTGAAGCATGTCGAAGGAAAGGCTTGTACTGTGTGCCTGTGGCAGGTGAGCGATGGGTTGATCGTGCTGGTTATCTAAAGGACCACCACCTGTATGACGGAAGTGGATGTCAAGGTGCTCTTTACAACCCAGTGTTACCTGCTTGCTTGCTTGCTTGCTTTCCATCCAAAGAGTGAACTAGGGGAGCAAGTCTGATTCTCTGCTTTTGGAGTCCTGCCCACTGCTTCCACATGTGTGGGGCTTATGATGGTTATTCAGCATTGAGGGGGGAAAAAGCACTCATTGACTTTTTACTGTTCTAAAGCCAAATTCTGACACTAAAATAATAATCTCTGGAGCTGAGAAAAACTATTTGATACTGGAAACAATTATTCCTTTTTGTCTGTGTTCACGCTGCCAGTTCACGCTGATGTCCTAATTTCAATCCTTGGTTGTCCACATGTAGAAGAAATTTAGTAATAATAATTTTCAAAATGGTTTCTGCAAAATATGCAGCAGAATCTTTTGACTTGTACTTTGCCTGTGCTGGGAAGAAAGACAGTGCCAGTGAAACAGCTAATAGGATTATGGCTGCAATCCTAAACAAATTTACTAGGAATAAATCTCAGTGTGAGTTCAGTGAGTAACTGAACTTCCAATTATAGGACTGAGTTGTAATATTATTAAGCTGTAACTCTAGTGACACTTAACTTGAAACTAAGTTCCATTAAAGTCAACTGGATGTCTCTAAATTTGGTGAGGATTACGGTGCCAGGTGCAAGCTTGCTTATTAATTAATTGCAATGTCCTTTTTATTGATAAATACAGTTTTAACTGTATCTTCAAATGCATTATAACACGCATGAAACATTCAGAATGTTTGAGATTACAAAATACAGTCAAACCATTCAATGAAATAATTCCATTACATAATCAGATACTATAATCCTGAACAATGGAGTGATTACATCATTTTGGTTTGTTGTCCTATCATATTCAAATTTAATTATTTTCCATGTTTTTAAATTATTCAGCTACATCACTAGTTTGTTTGGTCCTATGAAGAAAAGTATTTCAAACCTTTTTTTTTTTTTACTTTTAATTAAAGCTTGCTTTTTGTTTAACTTCAATTTTTCATTTCTTTCATTTTTTAATCCCACTTAGGAAATAGTATTTTGACTCTGTTCTGCCTAAAGTTTTCTTTATGGAGTTCAGAATGAATAATATAATAATAATGGGTTTTTTTCTTATTCTCTCATAACAAACCTACGTTATGGCTTTTCCCAAATCTCTCAGCAGCTCTCTTTATCCCCTACATTTGGAAATTAACAGCAGAGCTGTATTCTACAGTAAATAAGTATGCATAAGAGGACAAATATCAATATTACAGACATGTAACATTCTTCTCTGACAAAAAAATGTGCTGAAATGTTACACTGAAAACAGGAATCTGACTTAATAGCTATGCACTGTTCTACACTCATACATGCACACAGATACATATATGTCAAAAATATTCTGCATCATGACATGGATGTGTCAGTATGTTAAATGTCTTTCTCATTTGCCTATTTGCATCAAGGAGTGCATGGACGTATCAAATGGTTATGTTTTAAATAAGTTACATAGCTTGAATCAATGAGAGAATGTATCTGGTTAATCAATGACATTTATTTGTATGAAGGATTTTGTCCTAATTTGAAGCATCTACATCTTTTGTTCATTTTCCTGGTAATGCAGCATTAGGGATTTTAAATGTCTATATTTGGGGGGTGGTTGTAAATACAATAACATGCATATAATATATAACTCTGTTTTGTCTTGGGCCCATAGCTAAATGAATAATATTTAGGACTTCTAGTATATTTCATCAAGAATATATAATTTGACTGTAATTGCACTCTGTTGTTCTCAGTAGGAATTTTGCTACTAATGTTTGTAAGAGCAGAATTTTGCTATTGGAACATAATCCTACAGTTGCTAGCTGTTCATGCACCCACTTCTGCATGGTCAGAACACCTCTGATGATTATAGAGAAAAAAATATATAGGAACAGTAGATGACTATAGAGCTTCAGACAATCAACCGTTGAATCCTAAACTATTCTTTTCTGCTAGTCCAGCAGCATGTAGCAGGATGTTGAAAGAGGGAAGTGCTGCATGTAAGACCATAGGAAAATGAGGCCAGGAATGGTGCAGTACCAGCAGTGGCTGATGCAAGTAACAACAGAGCAGCTCAACTGTTTTGGTTTCTTGGAGTCTCTGCTGCACTTTGGTGTTGTATAGCAGGGTGCTTGGACATCTGCCCTTCTCTTGGTTCTCTTGTGATAGAGGACTCTGTCTACAGATGTGGATGTGTGAAGTTCCAGTTGCAGGATTACCTCCTTGGAATTCTGAAATCACCTATATGTGTGATGCAGTGTAAAGTGGTTAAAATGTTGTTCTGTTTCTGCATGTGTAACCAAGATTGGCAACTTGGCCCTTAAAAATGTATTGGCCAAGCTAATATCTGGAAATAGTATTGTGTGGGAAAACAGGGATCCAAATTTACAGCAAGGCTACTATTTTTCAACCCAACCAAGGCTGTGAAAATCAGGGGAAATGAACTTACAAGTCTCTAATACTTTACTTTTAACTGCAGGTTATGATACTATTGCTGATACAAAAGAAATCATACAGAGGACCATGCTTTGCTATTTCATTATTCAAAAGATGAAGAGCACAGTATGGAGTCAATGCTGCAAACTGATAGTCTAGCTAGTGTACTGTACAGTATAGGTCATGAGGCACAGAACAGATGGCTGGGAGGGATAATGTTTTCTTATGATCTGAAGATATAGGTGCCCATGAACACTGAACATTGCTACTGAACAGTCCCAGCTATTTTTGCTTGAAATGCAGTTACATACTTCAATAAAGCCCTTATATGGCTTCTGGTGATATGTGCAGAAAAGTTTATTTCTAATTTTTATGCACTGTTCAGTTTCCCTTACTCCCTGCACCCCTTCTTGCTTATATTTATTTATTTATATCCTGCCTTTTTCCTACAAAGGGCTCAAGGCAGCTTACATCATTCTCCTCCTCCATCTTATCCCCACAACAACAACCCTGTGAGGAAGGTTGGGCTGGGAGTCTGTGACTGGCCCAAAGTCACCCAGATGGCTCCATGGCTGAGCGGGGACTAGAACCCAGATTGTCTGAGTCCCAGTCCCACGCTCTTAACCACTACGCCACACTGGCTCTCCAAATATTCACCCATTGGTCTCTAGGCCAGCCTTTTCTCCAACCTGATGCCTTTCGGATGCTTTGAATTATATCTCCCACAATTGACCCTGGTGGCTGGGGTTGATGGGATCTGCCAGCCAAATAATCCAGTTGGAGAAAACTACTGTAGGGTTTTGTGCTAAGTATTGAACAATGCTTGTAAATGTTTGTAAATATCTGTACAATGTTAGAATGTTTATAAATATTCCATGGCAATACAGCACAGCTATTTTCAGTATACTAATAAATACATAAATATGTAACATTTTTTAACCAATGTTTATGGCAAAGTTGTGGAGTTTTTGTTTTGTTTTATTTTCTTTTATTTTCCCCGCAGTCCAACCTGAAAATACCAGGAATCAAACTTAGTTCAATTTTAATAACAAAGCAAATGTTTTATTATTGGTTATTCAAAGATACAATTCTTCTAATAGTTAATGTTTATTTGTCATTAACTAGCCTTAAATCTCTCTGTGTGTTTACTTGGATGTAATCCCACTTTAATTTAGTTGAATGTAGTAAGTATTATTCCCAATACTTAGCTTCTTTGGCTCTAGAAACTGAAACAAAATAATGCCACTGCCTTTTAAAGTTGCTACCCTGAAAGAGTGTTTCAAATTATATGATTAAAATATTAGTTCTAATACAGCTCACTATTCAAATTAAAAATTCATTAGCTTTACCCAAGTATCATTATAAGAAATCATCATCTAGCCTATAGTTTAAGTTAAAATGTAAATATTAACCTATAAGTTATTACTATATTGTCTATCATAATTATGTCAAGAGTATACCTTCCTGTTTTTAAACTGAAATCTGATTAAAATAGAAAATAAATTCCATTC